AGCCTTATGCTTTGTTGTAGCAGTGCTGATTGCCTTTTCAGAATGCAGTCAATAGCAATTAGCTAAAGATCTCTAGTAATCACTCCACAACCTGATCCTTACGGTCGACAAAATACATATAAATGCTGATGTTATTCAAGCGTATTATGATTTATACGTTGCTCAAACCGACTCAAGCGCAGGCCAGACAATTGGCAGAGATCTTTAATGGCCCATTAATAGTAATAGCAATTTACTGAAATTTAAGTACAAAGAAAAAAAATTCCTATCTCCACTTCATAATCATTTTTGTGTTGCAGTCTTTTTTCTTCTTTTTCACAAATTAAAACATTTATGTATACTTACTGTACATGCCAATACCTAGATGACTGTGTATGTACAGTAGAAGCCATCATAGTAGAAAGATTACAGTTAGTAAAGATGGTTTTTTTTATTCTTTTTGTTTAATACCAAATAATATTTGAAATTAGAAATTTCCGAGAACCCATGCCACTATTGACATGTACTGTAACAGGTCCTTCCAACCAATTTTTTAGGGTTATTTGAGGAGCTGAGTATTATCAGATTGAAAATGAAACCGGGTGCTTTGTTGGAAACAGGGTCTTCAGTGCAGCAATTGGAATCACTTCCTCTTGGCCATACGTTCTACAACCTTCTTTCTTTTCAAAATCAAGGCTCTACCTGTTTTAGCTGCCCGAGCAAGGCTACTTTCTTAGGACCATAGGCCATATAGAATATTGAGTGCTGACAGAATGTGAGATTATACTAGAGAATACTTGGTTTTTTGTTGTTTTTTTTTTAAATATTGAAATCACCCAAACAAGGCCTGAAAGCCACTTCCAGGTATAAGGAGTTAAAAAAGTAGGGCTAAAACTACTTGAGCCACTTGAAAGCCTGTAAACAAGGCAAGTTGGAGTATCTAAGCATGGCCAGCCGAGATTGGTCAGTGTGTAGTTTGACCACAAGTTAATAGTATTACCAGAATGGAAACTGCTAAATTCTAAAGCCACAAACCTTTTTTTTATGATTAAAGTGTCTGAGATATTTAAGGATGGATAGTTTTCTGAGTGTGAATTTATTACAGGAAATTAACATTTGAACATGCCATTTACTTAAACTGTAAGGAATGGCTATTCCGAAATGTATTTTATCTAATGGACAATGTTAAGTACTGAGTTAGAGGGAGATAGGAGAAAGGGAAAGGTTAGCTGCAGCTAAGAGTTTTCATTAGTTGACTTTTGGATGTGGTGAGAAAGTACTGTAAGGCCAATTTGCTGAGACCAGATTTGAAGAAGACAGGTGTTGGCAAATAATCTTTTTAACGTATGTACACATTTTTTTAAATTACCTACAGCACTGTGATATTTTTCGAAGGGCACCTTATAATTGTAAATTTTTTTTTTTCTCAGTCATTGGTTGTTATTGTTATACTGTACCAAGTATGTATACTAATGCATGCAATTTAGTTCTGAATTTTGTACTGTTAGTGTTCCTCTGGAACTCATACTCTGTCAATAATGAATCCTTAATTTACAGAAATTATCGTCAATTGAAGAGTAATCAATTCACAAAGGGACATTAAAAGCCATGACAACTGATGGCTAACCAAGCCTTGTGTCATTGATGTAATGTAATGTGAAATGTTCTGCTGGCATTGTCATGAACTGCTATAAGGTTAAAAATCTCAACTCAAAATGCAGTTTTGTTATTAATATTTCAAAAATGTTTTTATATTTAGGCCCAATAAAAAAAAAATGATTAGTTTATCATCCCCGCCCACATGTCTTCTATAGTATTGAAAAAAAATTGGAAGGAAACAATATATATTTTTTTCATTATTTTTAGTCAATATTTAGTAGTATTGTTTGTATTATCTCAATCATGTATTTTACTTTTAATATCAATGCACCAGCAAACACATCCAGGGTGATATTTGGCTTTAGCGAAATAAAAGTATAAAAATAAATAGCTGCTCTCACTCATCACTTCTCTAGCCTATAATGGATGATAAACTAATACATTTTTTTATTGGTCCTTAATACTGTAAAGTATTTTTAATTTATTAATAAATCAAGAAATATTTCTTTTATTTAACTCAGGGTTATATTTATGACAAACAAAACTTTTTTTTTATTGTTGATCTATCAGTGTTGCATACTAATCTCGCTACCTGACAGCAGAAAATGTTGATTTAAAACCGATCGCGCTTCAGCAATATTATTTTGAAATGAGACTTAGGTGCAGGGCTGTAAAAAGTCAGTGGTCCGAGTTCCGGGAGTCAACTATTTTAGGCTGGGCTAGCTTTAAAAAAAATGTTTAATAATAATATAATAAAAATAGTTCATTCTTATATAGTTACTAACTATTAAAGATATATTGTCCAGTGAAAATTACACAAATCATTAAAAATTATTTTGAAATTAACTTGCTCATTAACATTATTTAATTAACAAATCTGTACCCTGATTTTTATACTGGATATTATGATAGAACAATTTTAAGAATACGCTTTGTTTTGAATCTAATAGTATTTTCTATTAATAGCTACCGTATCCTGTTCTTGGTTGCACCAAATATCACAGTGTTTTGTACATTTTGATAACTCATGGGAGATGCTGTGGTCGAAAGCTCATGTATTAGAAAAATTGCTACCTGATAAAGTGTTGTTTTGTCTTTAATTATAGGATGTTATTAATAATTAGATATTATTAATTACAGTAAGCAAGAATATTTTTATGTGTTTAAAGTTACATTCCACTGCATTATTTTATTCTACATTCCTCTTGACCAGCAATTCCCCCCTTCACTGGCAATCTCCTTCCCTTTAAGTTCAGCGTCACAATTACCTACAAGTCCTGACCTTACCTAGCAATAAGCATCCAGCATCTAAGTATTCCTTAGAGAGATAATGTCTCCATCTCCACGATAACAATAATAAATTTCAGACTCAAATTGGGATGAAAACATTACAAAATGTCATGTTCTAAAATTCTATCCAGACTACCAAATTTTGTTTGACAAAAACATGTAACATGTCTCAATATGGTCATATGACATCACATCATGACTATATATGGGCATATAACAGTTTTTTTTTCAAAGAAAGTGATAATCTGGACAAAGCTTAATAACCAACAAAAAAAACCTACTCTACTGTTTTTTGTACAGCATGTACATTGCACAAACAACAGTATAATATATTGAATGTGTAATAGTTGTTTTTTATCCTATGAATGTCATATTATTTGAGAGATAAAAATGACAGATAGAATGATTATGTATAGGTTCATCTACCTACTCATTTCTCCTAATCATAGATATTAATATTAATAGTTGGGATTTGTATTGTACAGCACTAATACAGTCTGATGTCTCCATGCTTTAGTGAAAAAATAAAATGTAATGTTTCTTTATAATTTTATACATTGTCATGGGTATAGGCTAGGGGTGGCAGCAACACTACTATGAGTTAAAATACTAAAAATGACCAATTAAGTTTTCATTGGAATAGGGATTTAATTCCGCATTTTAACTTTTTGCATCCTTCCCCTCCCCCCACAGGATACTAAACTATATATTTATCTTCTAAGGAAAAATATAGTAGTTATCCTGAATGGAAATGATACCTTAAAATCCTGTCTAGGCCCCTGGGCCACAACGCTGGTCACATGATCACAAATTAATGTCAGACCTTGATAAATGCCCAGCTCGCATTTATTCTATTACATTTTATATTTATTCTATTTTTTATCTGTTTTTTTTTTTTTTTTTTTGTTTTTTTTTTTTTTTAGTATATAT